AAAAAAAAAAATTTTTTTTTTTTTTTTTTTTTTTTTTATGATTATGGTTGTCTTTATTATTTATTTATTATTTCCTTCTATCATTTAGTTTATCTATGAATCTTTAGTTGCACTGAAACGCTACCTCACTTCTACGTAATCATCTGTATTTTGAGTAAATATGTGTGTACAATGAAACTGACACCAGCTTCCCTAGTGGTGATGTACAGATACTATTAATGTAGCAGAAGAGTATGTAAATTTATGATCACATGAGGTTGTACTCTCGTGACCAACACTTGAATAAATACCCTACCAGAAGCTTCATTAAGAGAGTCACGAGGCAGTTAGTGAATTATTGCTGTTTGTCACTCAATATTGTTATTGATATTGAATGATATTTTTGGAATATTGTATTTGCTGTATTTTGTTTTGGAATTAGGTTTTTTCTTTCTGGTTATTTTTCTCGATTCCATTATTTGAAATATTATTGATTTATTAATATTTATGATAAACTGTTTATTAATATTGGTGTGAAGTTCTGGCCATGCACTTGTATACTAACTGTGTTTTGATAAGTGTTGAATTTAGTTCTAAATGTTATTGTGAATAATTTTTTTTTTATTGTTGAACCCTGATTATAGAGGTGTGTTCATTTTAGACTGTTACACTGGTACCCGAACAGGAACCTTTTCCATAAAAGTTGAATTGTGACTTTGGATTTTTTTTTTCTCAATTTAGTATTGAGTGATTAATTCAGCAATAATTTAAGTTCAGTTAAGTATAGGTTAACTTATGTTTGAAAATAACTGTGTTATTATGAAAGTTAGTGAGTCTGATGTGGCAAGCTTGAAGCAGTCTGTGTCAGTATTGACAAAACAAGTGGAAATGCTAACACATTTGGAGACTAATCTACTAGCAAGAGAATCTATGTTTCTCTCCCCTCATCCTCTACTACAAATGTTGAGAGTACATTCTACCTACAGACCTGTGGAAAATTCATCGATTTACATCACCGCAGACAAGCCACCACCCCTACCTGTTGAGTAGGTCGATGATCAGTCATATTTTAATATCTTGGAGTTTCTTAAAAGTTTAGAAAGACATTTTTATATGTATTAAGTACCCAAAAATAAATGGGTAGAAACTGTGGCTTTTTATTTGAGAAGAGGACCACTAGAATGATGGAACACTTTCAGATCAGAAATGGATTTCTAAAACTAGGAAAATTTAAGGAAACATTGACCAATCTGTACCCAGCAGTGTTAGATAATATTGAATTGGCTAAGGAACTCTTTAGTAGGAAGTACCACAGTAATGTGTGGGAGTCAGTTGAGAGGTTTATTTGGAAAACTGTGAAAACATAAATTATGGAACCCTGCAGCTACAGAAAAAGAAATTGTGAAGTGTATAATATCACAACTGCATGTTTCTTTACAAGAATACTTACAATGCCACTCTGTAACATCTATTGCTGATGTGCTTAAATTTACTAAACAATATGAACATTGTCAGAACAAGTAAACAAGAACCTGTTAACAGTGAAGTGATTAAACTGAGTATCATAATAGACCTGTGCAATGCTGTACATTAAACAAGAACCCTTTAATAGTGAACTGATTAAAACTGAGCATCGTAATAGATTCATGCAATGCCATACTTGTAATCAAATAGGGCACTTATCTGTGCATTGTCCCAAGAAAATGAAATATGTAAACGGGAACAAAAAAATGAAGAACACTGGTCAGGAAATGAGAGCAGGGATCAAAGGAGGCAGTTTTGAGTCCTGTGAAAGTAAATCCCTCCATTAACTATTTAAAAACAACTAAAATGGATCTGCCACACCTAACCCTAAAAACTAATGGTGAGAAAGTAGTAGGTTGTATAGATACTGGGTCGATTTATTCAATATTAAATGAAAATATATGGTAACAAATCAAGAGAAATGATCCAACACTTTTACTAAAATCTTGGAGTAATGGTAACATGTGTCTTGCAGATGGAATGATGAATTGTCAACCATTAAGATATTTTGAAGCAAAACTATTTGTAACAAATATCATTGTGTTGTCAAATATTTTGCTGTATCTTGTCTTATTCGATTAGACTTCATTCAGCAAAACAAAGAAATCCTTAACTTCTTCACAAATGTTCTTGAATTAAATGTGTCCTCTGTTAGGCATGACTTTAAGACTGAAAAGATACTGACTGAAGAAGTACAATGTTCATATTTAAAAGAGTAAAGACTGAATAATTAAAGCAACTTCTGTTGAAATATGCTGATGTTTTTAACAATAAACCTGGCCTCACAGATTTGTCTGAACATAGTATTGTAACCATAACAGAAAAGCCAGTGTTTAGTAAACCTTATCATTATTCTCCCACTAAATTACAAGTGCTACATGATCAAGTGGATGAAAAGCTTTGTGATGGATTAATTGAATCTTCCACTTCTTTTTTTGGCTTCTCCAATAGTTATTGTCAAGAAGAAGACTAATGATTTTAGGTTCTGTGTTGACTAGAGGAAGTTAAATCAAGTCTCAGAATCTCACCAGTATTCACTGCTTCATATAAGTGATATTTTGAATGCTTTGTCAGGGGCAACCTGTATCAGCACGTTAGACTTATGCAGTGGATATTGGCAAATACCTGTTAAGGTGGAGGATCGACATAAAACTGCCTTCATAATGGATAATAGACTTTATCAATTTAAAGTGATGGCTTTTGGTCTTAAAAATGCACCTACCACCTTCTAAAGACTTATGGATAAGGATTTAGCAGGGGCAACTGAATGTTCCAAGGCTTATATTGATGATATTATAGTGTTTTAACCCACATTTGAACAACAATTGAAAGACCTTGAATTGGTTTTCTATAAGCTATGTACAGCTAATCTTACTGTAAAAGTTTCTAAAAGCACATTTTGCCAATCAGAAGTATCATATTTAGGATTTAAACTCTCTTCTGAGGGAATACACACAAATGATGATAAAGTGAAAGCTGTTACAGAATTCCCAACTCCAAGCAACTGCAAAAAGTTTAGCATATTCTTGGGTATGTGTGCCTGGTACAATTAGTTCATTCCAAACTTTGCTACAATTGCTGAACATTATATCATGAAGGAAGCATATCAAGTGGAAATGGACTCCCCATTGTGAGGATGCATTCCAGAAATTAAAGCAAGCTTTATGTGAATCCCATCTTGAAACTTCCAAGAAAAGGTGAACACTATTTTTTACATACTGATAACTTCAAATGTTGGATTAGGAGCAGTTCTGTGTCAGAAGGGTGTCATAGCATATGCCAGTAGAACACTGAACTCTGTAGAAAGAAACTTACTACTACAGAGTTAGAATGTCTAGCCATAGTCTGGGCTACATAAAAATTTAAGATATACCTAGATGGAGAAGAATTTACAATTATAACTGACCACACTGCCTTGAAATGGTTACAGACAGCTCCAAAGTTAACTGGTAGACTGCTGTGTTGATCATTAAAATTACAAGACTTAACATTTGAAATACTGCAAAGAAAAGGAAAAGAGAACTGGTTACCTGATGCTCTATCTAAATATTCTAATCAATTAATAATGCCACCTATACTAAGCAGTCTTTTATATCTGACAATTTCTAAGTGTTGTTATTGTGAATAAATTGTTTTTTCTTGTTGAACCCTGACTGTAATGCATGTTCATTTGGGACTGTTGCACAGTGACTGAAAAGTATGGACAAAAATATAAGCACTGATGATCTAAGGTTTCACAACACAGATTTGATAAATTTGAAATATCTTGAAAAAGACAAACAGTATTTCATTATTTTTTAAAAAAGTGAAGTTTGTGACAATGAAAACAAATATTTTGGTTACAAATGATTTCAATAAAGCATTTCAATTAACATTTTATTATGGAAACTGACTGATCAAAAACTTCACTTCTTAATATTGTGTTTTTCTTTTTCAGATTTGATCAAAACTTGTTATGATGTGAACATTTTTTACAAGCTGGTAAAGTATGATTACAACTAATTATACTTATTAACCCACTCCATGAAAAGTTCTGGATTGAGCAAAATGTGTCATTGGCAATGGATATGATGAATACGGTGTAGATGAAATACTGTCATTACACACTCTTATAATTTTTGAAAATCTCTAAGGGATAAGATTAAGAATATACAGTTAAAATTATAATAGGCTTAACATAATGTCTTATGACAAATATACGTGATCAATAACTTGCTGAAATGTAGGATTATGACCTTCTTCTAAGTACACTGATTTAAAAAAGGTTTCAGTAATCTATGTATGACAAAACAGTTGAAATTGTCCATTACATACTAAAAGTTCATCACAAATTTCAATATTTTATGTTTAATATCACCTTCACTTTTTCCCCACTATATGCAGCTTTATCAACATGTTTGACACCATATATTATTATTAGTAGTTACAGGGCTATTGTTAGCAACATGACTAGGATCTTTCATTCCATTCATCATCAGTAGTTATATATATATATTCTTATATACAAACTTATCACCATTCACTATAAGAACACTATCAGTAGTTACACAAATTTGTCTGCTAATTCAGTCTTGGTTTAGCTCACTGTGTGCATTATGAATAGTTGTAATTATTCTTCTGGAGCAATAGTTATGATCTTTCACTCTATCCAATGTTATTAAAGGGGCTCACAGATGAGTAGAATTTGCTAATTGATTAACTGTCAGGCAAATTAATCAACTGCATTGAATAATTTGATTATTTTCACACAAGACTATTCTTCCTATTTCCAGCTTGTTTTGGTTTTTCTAAGACATTTTCCAACAACCCCTTTTTTCGTATGATAGACATCTTCATCAATTTAGGATTACGTTAATATTTAATCCTAAACTATTATACATGAAAATATATCACTTTGTAAACCTGTAATAAGTTGAAAATATGATTAATATTTGGTTTCTACCTACTAATTTTCACAAGACTACCTTACTAAAACTAAATAAAAAATTATTAAAAATTATTGTCCTTAGATTTCATGTGATGAAACTAGTAATGATTCTTGTTGCAGTTGTGATAGATAATGTATGATTCAGTGAAAACAAACCTGGGCCAGTCATAGAAAAAAAAGAATGTACAACATTTACTATTTGGCAAGAAAACTTGTGGTGACACTAGATGACCCCTTTGCAAAGATTGAAAAGAGTCAAAAGGTAGAAACTGAACTGTCTTAAGAAACATTAAAATCACAATAATATGAAAAAATATGTAATTAAAGAGGGCAAAATTTTTTCTAATTCCATCATCAGCACGGAAAACTTAAAAAATAATCAGTAACTCTATAAGTATAACAACACCATAATCTTTTATGTGAGAATTTGTTGATATGGATGGAAGCTTAGAAAGAGCATATTAAAATGATTTATATTTTACAGTACAGGCTAGAGTAAACTGTAGAAACATGTGTGTGTGCTGAAAAATCAATAAATCACACAACTTAAGCAGTGTATAAACAGCATGTGATGACAACCAGCCTTTTGTTACTCCTTTTCAGTGATTCCCACCTAGCTAGAGCTAGTCATAATTAAACAGGAGTTCTGTTTATGTAAATTGGTTAACAACACAACAGTATTACATATTGTTAGACTGTTATTAATCTATACCTAGCAATTTCAGTTAAATGAGCAAGTTATTCAACAATCAACATTTTTTTGAGCAAATAAATAATAATAAATATTAACTTACTGTAACTTTTGTATTTTATTAAAATTAACTTAGCCTAAGGAATACTGGTTACATTTATAGCTTATAATAAGTAAGCAATACATTAAGTTAAAGTTACATTATTAGTTAGACATACAAAGTCAACAAAAACAACAGGAATCACAATAGCTAGTTATGCAACACTAGACCATGCCCTCAACATCATGTGGTGTACAAGCAGATGATGTGCACACTGTTGTGCCAAAAGAAGAAGGAAAAAATAATATTTCAATTACTTGGAATAGTTGAAATAATAAAAATAACAGTAATTGGAAATACTAATTTTGACTAGTTGATTATTTTCATGAGTCAAGTTACTAATGGATCAAGTTGAACAACTTTAGATTAATGATATATAATAATGAGAAATCATAATATTTTCATTACTTGGATAGTTAGAGTAATTGAAAACAGTAACTAACTGGAAACACTAATTTCAATTAATCAATCAGCTCTAATTACTAACAAATGAAATGTTTAAATTTTTTAATATACACAACTTAAAGCAAAACACACATACATATTCAAATTAATTACAAGTACAGAAAAATAAAAAGGCATAATCATTCTTGAAGTCCATGTATGGTAAAAAAATCTAGTTCTTCATTATATAAAATAAAAACTTTAAAAACAAAAGTACATATATAGAAATAAAAGTTTACCAATGATATTTAACAAAATAAAAATATGGTAAAAATACAACATATTACATCAGTGCATTGAAAAATGCAAACAATTTCTCACAATTATAATAAGTTAATACAGATGTAATGGTTGTATCAAGTAGGAAAACTAGTCACTTTTCACACACAGTTTGTATCAGATAAAAACAGAAATATATAAGTTTCTATTCAGAGCCAGCCTTAGGAGGGTGTGGGGCCTGAGTTGGTTGCCTCAATGGCCTTGCCCGAAGGCTAGCCCTGTTTATAACAAGTCATAATAAAAAAATTCAACTTTAATACATACCCAAGTTAATATCTGGCAAAAATCCAGTGGAAAACTCCACAGGTGACTTAAGGAACCTGAATAGCAGCTGGCTGCCTTTAAGCAATGGGATTGACAGAAGGTTCTAAAAACAGAGAAAATTTTTTTATTGAACTGTTTAGTTACAATACATACAATCTGGGTTATATATATTTTTTTCTTGTTACACAACATTTTATTACATCAGGGTTGTCAAGATTAAAATATGTACATAAACATATCAAATAACCTAAAGGTTAGGTCAGCTTTAAATGTATTTTTCGTATTCTTCAATTATTAAATACAATGGCTGCCTAATAGTTTTTGCATCAACACAAACATTATTTGGTCATAAAAAATATAGTCCTGCTGTGAAGACAGTCATTTTTGTATATATATAATACTTTAATATTTGATAACATTTTTAAAATACTCAGAATTATTCAAAGTGACAGCTAAGAAAGTAAAACATTCTACATATACCACAAAATATGCATAAAATTATCAGGAATCCCTTTTTTTTAACAATGTATTATCACTATCATGGAAATAAATATTAAATGAAATGTAATTTTTGTATTTTTGTATATTCTGTAAATCCCCCCCCCCCCCAAATAATAATAATTTTTTTTGACTCAGATTTATTGTCCAATATTTCCAATGTAAAGAAACAATGTAACATTCAAGCACTTCAGTGGAGACCACTTTTCAACAGTATTACTAACTTTAGGACATTTTAAGATTTTTATTGTCACTTTTTACCATTCTAAAGTGTTATCTGATTTAAAATTAACATTTAACAAGAACATTCTAAGTTATACTGGCAAACATCAGAAAAAAGTATCTAGTACTTCATAGAAAAATGGATAATAAACATCTTACCTTAAGAAAATTTTCAAAGGCAGACTTCCGTGATTCCATGAACTGCCGACTTTTATTACCAAATGAACGTTTTTGGGGCAATTGAACAGAAGAAAATTCTCCATGAAACTCAATAAGTTTGGCTTCTAGGACATAAAACTCATGATACTTCCTGGAAATGAATCATGAAATTCATCAGTCAATTTTTCTTTGATGAATTAAACATCACATATTACAGGAATTCAAAATGAACTTGATCAGTCTTGAACTTTAGGATAGAATGAGCATAGTAGTTTCTACAAAAAACGTGTACCTAAAGTTATACATTATATTCAAATTCCAAACAATTAAATTACACTGTATTGATGTATCTAGAAAAAAGGCTGAAACTTTTAAAAAGATAAGAATAAATTATTTTTTCTAATTGGTTATCACAAGATTTTTCAGAACTGAGATATTCTTTATTATTCACTGATGCCTGTTGATCTCAAACTGAAAGCTCAAAGTAGCTTGTACTTTGCTGTGTCCTTCCACAAGAACAGTTACTGAAATGGATGCTAAGAGGTTTTGCAACTGACATATGTACCACATATACACAAAACTATTTCCAAATGTCTTTGAAAAATTAACCAAAAGAATGTGTTGATCCCACGAAAGGTTTGATTTACCAACATGAACTAACATCAAAGATATTTATCTTTACTGGAAGAAATACTTACATGTAATTATTTTTCCCAATTACCTTATAAAACCCTCTAAAGAGATATTGTTCTGGTAATTAATAAGGAAATGCTCTTCTACAAAGGGTTGAGTACATTAAATTAAAATGGTTAAAGTATGCAAGCCAGCAAGCTGATATAAAGTCCTGGGAAAACAGAATGTATCAGAACTACATTTTGACATTGACCTTTTATAGGAGGTGTGATGCCTTATGATCACTTATGGGAATGGTATGTAACAGCTCTTTCTGATAAAATATATTCATACAATAAGATAATAAAGATGTGTTAAGATCAGGGATTTACAATTGCCTTGTTCTTGATGGGTTTGGAAATTAAAAGAATATGGGTGAACTTGGGGACCAAGACCATCTACAAAGAGACCTGCAATAAGTTGTACCCCAGCCATGGTAAGCAAAAAATATGGGTGAACTTGGGGACCAAGACCATCTACAAAGAGACCTGCAATAAGTTGTACCCCAGCCATGGTAAGCAAAGTGTAATGTCTTGTAACAGGTGAAAATCAATGAACACAAAAGTCAGTGACAAAAGCCATCCTCAAGTCCCATGCAATAGTACTCAACATAATCGAGAAGGATCTTCGTCTGGAAGAGCAACACAAATCATGTGTACATAACTTACTTCCCTGACACATCCATTCAACCATCACATACCTTGAGCAGCTGGAGATGGAAATGAATAAGCATTTATGCTATTCCATAAGAAGACATATTAGCCAGGTCACTGGTCAGAGTGCTTATGGGTTTCTGAGTGACAGGATTGTCAAAGCAGGTGCAAGATGTACTATAGAAAACCTGCAGGGAGGAATGGTATGCTTTGAATATTACAGCCTTATGACAAAGCCTTTTGCAATGGAAACTATGCTGAATGGCTATTTTCAAGATGCAAGAGCATTACCAGGTATGATAACATTGGCTGTAGCAATATAGTTAGGTTCCAAAATCATTTTAATATAACATGCTCAGCCTCTGTAGTAGTTTGCACCTACCCTTCAAGTAGATGATAATTTGAACAAAAACCCTTCAAGTAGGTTGTACTGTTAAGGTAATTAGTAAATATTTACTACTTAAGTTCATAGCAATGGTACTTTACGCTACTAACTATAAGCAGTTAGTAAACTATTCTCCCAGTACGGATATTTAAAAAGAATATCTTAGAAATAGCCAATAACTATTGACTGCTGACCATATCTGTATCACTGCACTATTTGCTCATCCTTCTAAAAGACCGTTTCACATTGTTTTCAATTTTAGATTTGCTAGAGCTTGTGTTGTACACCAGAATGTTTAGCACATGACATCTAGCTGGACTGTCAAGGTGGACTAGATCCATGATGAAGATGTCAAAGATGACTGGTGGGAGTGGTGATGCAGACCAGTGTTGATGGTGATCCAGTCTGACTGCAAAGTTTTCAAGCTTTATGAAGCATCTTCTGATAGTTTGTGCAGGTACAACCCATCTTTGATGTATTACATTGATGCCTATTCTTACCATTTTGTTAACAAGAATGGTGAGTTGGAATGTCCAAGCGCTTGACAACAGTTATTTTGCTTTGAACTAGATTAAGTTGGTGAACTGTACTTTTTATAAATTTTGAACTGTATGCATCTCCTAAATCTAAAACTCCTACCTAGGTGTTCTGACCAGTTTCAAATATTTCTTTCTATCAGCATAAAAGTCAACAGCATTGATCCAAGTTTCTCTTCCACTGTGATAACCACCTAATGATGCCGATGTTTTATCTGATGGGCAAGACTTCTAGCTACAGCATGTTTTCTAGGATGATGATTGTAGTGCCTTAATGCCTTCATGGGTTTGGGTAAGGATTTGATAAAGACATCTGTCCCATATTTCAGGGATGCTACTCCCTGAATATACTCTAATACTCTGACACTGACTTCAACAGGTTGACTTATGTAAGCTGTTTCTTAAAGCTGGAGATTATCCAGACCTACAGCTCCATCTGTAGATGTATTCATGGGTATGTGTATCTTGTCCAAGCTAATGATGGCTTATTTATCCACATGTAGTTACAGCTTGAATAGGGATTGCTGTAGCTTGAGCTTCTGTTCATTTTACCATAGTCACATTGGTTAATGTATATTAGAGTTAAAATTTTATTTCATTTCAAAATTTATATGTATTATTTATTACATGATATACCTCAGCACTACAGCCTGTTTTTTTCAAATAACTAATATATTACCTTTTGTGGTTTTGCTTTAACCCTTCCCAACTACGTATCTTTTACTTTTATATTTTACTAGGGCAAATGGCATCACACTTTTAAATAACTCTGCCTACAAATTACTTATAAAATAAAACTACAACTGAATTGTTGAGATTTAGAAGTTTGTTTTGTATGTACATTTTATTAACATTTATTTTCAATAACATAATAAAAAATACAAAATGCTAACCCAACTTAGATTTGCACAACTGTAATTTTTATCTGAGAAATAGAAATATTTAAACTTCCCACTTGTGTAGATGAGTCTTGTCAACATATGAAACAAACCTGTGTTCTTGTTGTTGTTCTTACACATTTTTTGCTTATTAGTACCTCAAATTGTTTAAAAATAATGAATTTTGAAGTTGGTGAGGTAAAAAATTTAAATTTCTTGGTTTAAAGCTTCTATATGACTGGTTGGGAAAGTTAATATATAAGTAGATATACCACGATCTAGATGAATGGTTTGGAAATTAATCTGTGATTAGAAATACCACTGTCTAGATGACTGGTTGCATACTTTAATCTGTGAATAGTAATAAATTCTATATGAGTAATATATTTCAGAGGAGCATCTTAATGATTGGAAGAGTTATTTATTAAATTCCTACTGATAGTTTAATATGCATAAAGCTACCAAAATATGGTGTAATTCTAGCTTTTGAAAATTGTTTAAAATATTATCAACGTTTTTCACACTACCCAATTTAGAATTACAAAATGCCTTACCTTTCCACTGTCCAGTGCAACTCATCAGGATTATCTGAAATAAGTGAACAGAAAATGTTATAAACTCATACATGCAAAAACATTCACATACATATCAAACTATGCTAAACTTACAGTTTTACTGCAAGAAAAAATATTTATTTTATAACAAAGTTAACACACCTCTGGACATATTGGTAAGACAACCAATTATCTTTACATCTTAAAAATCTAAGTACCTTACATATTCTACTAACCTTCGCCATTTACATCAATACGTTGTACTTCTATGATGAAAACGTGGTAGTACTTGCAATGGATGTCCATCCGAGTCTCCACTCGAGGAATAGACACACGCCAAGCACTAAGGTCCTTCAGTCGTGGATCACCCTCAAACTTGTATACTTCAGAGTCCTCCCAGACTGTTGAGTCCAGCGTAGAATCGCCCTGTAAGAAACATTGAATCTCCATAAGGACTTAATGAGTTTTAAAAGAAGTAATAATGTAAAAATTACAGAATCTTAAAACCTAACAACTCAATCCAGAAATGAAGATTTAAAACTATTTAATATCACATCAACAACAGCAAAATAATAATGATATTTTTGCTTTTGTAGCCTCCCAATACTCCTTAAGCACTTTTGCAATAATAATTTTATTGTGAAGGGTATTTCTAACACATACATAAGTCAAAATATGCCATTTTAATACATCAAACAATTCTATATAATAATTTCCATTCATGTATAGCACATCATGTGGAATACAAAAAGTTAACACTTTCTTACCTCCCCTTACCCAAAGCTATCTCAACCTTGATTTGCTCTCTAAGCATTGCTAAAAGTTTGAATAGTGCACCAGTCTTTTATACCCCTTTACTTTTAGCAACATGTGCTGATCATATGACTACCCTCCACCAATCATACTGCACCACCTATACTAGTGCAGGTAGCTCTCTCTACCATTGTAGCCCAATCCTCACTTCTGGAACATGTATGCTATTTGCCCAGTAAAGATGAAAGGAAGACCCATAGAGCGGAATAAAATAGAATATGTGACTAGGTCTAGAGGACTGTATATGAATAGGCCAAGTGCAGTTTGCCCTGTTCTCCTTTATATTGATTGTTTGGCGTATTATTATTATAGTAATTTCTTCTTATTATTTCTTCTTCTCTTCTATTTCCTTGCCTTCCATTTCCCATTTATACACCCATTCAGATCTGTGTCGTCTTCTTTGTCCAGTTCATCACCTTTGTTGTTATATGTCTCAACTGAATCCTTTCTTTTTTACCATTCTTACCTCTTTATTTTGTGGAGTCCCTCTGTTTCCCATGATCTTTCTTCTATTACCCTTTCCGTCTGGGTTCAAAAACTTGTACGACTAGCTTATTCTGACATGTCAGTGGAAGGTCATCAGCTGTTTAATGTTTATTTGCACCAAATATGCCATTTAACTATGTATTTAGCTGCTTTGAATCGTGTCATATCAATTTTTTTGCATTTTTCTTTACAGTTGATTTACAGTGTATATCAGAATCCCACCTAGTGGCGGGTGTTGCCTTGTCAGGTATGCTACATCATATCACAAGATGCTTCCTCAGGATGTTGTTTGCCTGGGTGGACCACACTTGTTGATCTCTCAATTTATTATGTACAAAATCTGAAACAGAAAATACTATGCAAGGTACTTCTATTGGATGTTTTCTACCTGGATGTACTCAAACATATACCGAGGTGCTTCCTGTGGATATTTTACCCTGGCTGACCACACTTGGTTATCTTGATATAAATCCAGTGCACTTCCCCTGGATGCTTTCTGCCCTAAGAAGAATGGTAAAGGATGCAGGAAGAATTAATGGCATAATTATCAAAACAACAATGATGACCACAAGCTAGGAGGAGAAGGAAATAGGTCATAAGAGAAAGATGGTACAATGGGTTCAAAGGGAAAATGAGCCAGCACATAACGAACCACGTTAAGATCACAATCTGGAAGCACAAAGGGACGGGGTGGATGAACAAGACAAAAATAATAGGAGACAAGAAAGATACACAAAAACAGGAGAAATGGAAGGAGTTGAACAGGGCAGCCTGACAACTAGAAACAGTGGACATGAACAAACCCTGATCAAATAACCAGGTAAAGAACTGGGAGAGGCGAGGAACAAAAGGATGGAAGCTACTGCAAATGGATCACTGTTGTAAGGTAGACCAACATCTCTGACACACAGACAAAGAGAAAGGATGAAAGGTGTGGGTAAGCAAAGGTGCTACATGAGGGGCAAGTCTCTGAGAGGAGGCAATGGACCGGATAAAAGCCACGCATGAAGATGGTGTTTGGTGATGTCGGGATGAAACAGGTCTGATCGAGGTTGTCGAAGGAGTAACACTGGACACATTGACACTGGACTTCAAAGACTCAGGATGACCCCTAAAAACCATTACGCGAATAAACTGGGCTTTGACAAAGCACCCCCAAAGAAGAAAGGGGGGAGATGCACCCTCACATGTAATGCATCACGCTCCAGCAAATACCAACAACATAAGATCCAGGTGGTGAGAGACAGCGCCAAAGCCAACAGGAGGGTCCTGAGTTCTGTCGAGAATTGATCGGGAGACTGGCAAAAGGCTTGAGATAACAATTGTAATGAGGAAATAATATGTAAATAGTGGTCAAAGTAAGGCAAATCCTAGAAAACTGGGAAATATTAAAATGAATCAAAGCATAAAGATTCGAGCCCCACAAGGGAAGGAGAGGACCCAGACATTGAATCCAAATAAAGATTCACAATGTTGGTAAGAGAAAGAATACTGGTCCAACGAATGAGAAAGATGGGACCTACCTACACCTGACTGCAACTGATCAGCAAAACATTGAGCATAAACAATAATGTTGGATGACAGAGGGAAAAATAATACTCAGAACAAGAATCATCACCCAACAAAGAAGAAGAATCAAAGGCTACAGGCAAAACATAAAATTTGACATACCTGATCAATAAGTTGTAGGAAAGACATGTTTGGCAAACTCTCCTAACTGTCAGCATTATGTGATTGGCTAAAAAAATAGAGTTGAAATTGTCCAGAAGCGTGTTGATGTGGAAAAGGAGAATGAACCAAAGAATTAGTAGAGCATCCAACTCCCTGCAGACTAAAGCTTAAACCTCCTTGGCTGACATCGTCAACCTGCCACACTTGGGACTAGTAATATTACCATCGTCCATATTGGAAGGAACTTCTTCATCTGCCACATTAAAATTCGAATTCATAAGTCCACTTGGACTTCCAAAAAAAAGTAAGAAATGGTTGAAAACAAACATAAATGAAATGACGAAACTAACTATTAATTCAAAATTTTAAATTGAAACTGGCAAGGAACTACACACGAATGAGCAGGATTCACATGAAGAACAAAGTAAACACGTGTTTAAACACTGTAGTGTTAATCGAGAAAGTGAGGATTGTGTTGCAATGGTAGAGGGAGTTACCTGCACTAGTATACGTGGTGCAGTATGTTTGGTGGAGGGTAGTCACATGATCAGCACATGTTGCTGCAATAATGCAAAATTATAGCAATGCTTATAGGGCAAATCAAGGTTGAGATAGTTTTGGGTGAGATGAGATAGTACTCAGAATACAACAATCATAGCTTAGATGCATTATATTTATGGTGCTTTAAAGTGCTATATACTTGCAAAGCATGAATGAAATATATGCACTTGCACAAAATGCGAGATAAACATAGTGTCTGTATATTACTGGAAAAAAATAAATGTTCATATATACAGCACCTTGTAAAAGTATTCACCCTCCCTGCAAAGTTTCCACATTTTGTTGCCATCTGAGCTTGCAATCATGAAACTTTAAAATTGGAATTTATATTTAGAATCTACATAATTTACTCCAAACTGAAAAAACTAACAAAACACTAATATTATGTAAGTAAGTAATGAATAAAACACCTATAAACCGAGCACTTTCGAAAGGTCCACCTTTCAAAAGCACTTGGCTTATAGGGTTTTTATTCATTTCTATCAAGACTTCTTGAACATATGTATTTTACTAACATCATGAATGTAAGTAATAAGATTTTCAAATAAAATAATAATATTCTCAATTGCATAAGTATTCAACCCCTTTGTTATGCCAATCCTAAATCTGTTCAGGTGCAAAACATTAGTTTGAAAGGTCACAAAATTAGTGTGATGGTCTCTGTCTGTGTGTAATCAAAGTGGTTTAACTTGACTTCAGAGAAAATGCATCTGTTCAAACCACAACTCACATAGTATTATTACATACCAATCATAAAAACCAAGGAGCTTTCCAAACAGGTCAAGGATAAAGTGGTAGAGAAGCACAAATCAGGTGAAGGTTACAAGAAAATTTCAAAGTTGCTGATTGAGTACAGTGAAGTCCATCATTAACTCTTTCAATACG